AAAGTAAAGGGGAAGTAAAATCCAGGAAGTTATGTGAACCCAGAAGCCGTTTTTGGCTTCAGGGAATTTGCTGATTTCAGGGAACCAGGGTTTGACAACATTAATGTGTGACAGGGACAGAAATAAAGTCTAGGGTCCACATGGTGTGGAAGGTCTAACGGGGAGTCCAGACGATGGTCATCAATCACAGTGAGAATAAAGGAGAGGCCCAGGCCTGGAATTGCATTCCCAGTAAGCCACTCTCTTCCTGGCCAGTTTTGCTCAGTGGTTAGAGCATCAGCCAGTGGACCAAAGAGTCGTAGGTTCGATTTCTGTCAAGGGCACGCAGCTTGGTTGTGGTTCGGTTCCCAGCCCTGGTTGGAGTCATGCAGAGGGCAACCAATTGATATGTCTCTCACATCGATGCTTCTCTCCTCCTCCCACTCTATCTGAAGATAAATAGAGAAATATCCTCGGGTGAGGATTAAAAACAAAACCTACTCTCAGACCCCAACCTGTGTTAGTTGCCCAGATGGGCTGTGTCCTCAGACACCTGGGTGTAGAAACGGCAATACTTTCCGAAGGTTTCATGTCACTGCTGACCTAAATTTCACCCATAAGTGATTTTTTCAAGTAGAATTGAGTATGCAGTAAAGTACCCCACCAGAAAAATATAAGCAAACTAACCCTTGTGAGTAAAGTGTGGGAGGGCAAAAATAGCCATTTTTTCATGGAGAAGCCTGCAAACACGGCTTTAATCAAGGAAAACTGCCCAGGTGATAAGTCAGGTTGACATTTCCCCTGATACGATGTGATGAGAAGGGCACTTCTCAGGGTATTCTTTTATAAAACCATAACCCAAGTCTAATTACAAGGAAAACATAAAGATGAATCCATATTGAAAGACAGTCTACAAAATGCCTGACTGGTACTTTCACACTGTGAAGGAGAAACAAGGAGAAGCTGAGAAACAGACAGAAGAGAACATGTGACAGGAAGACAAGGCCACGTGGTCCCTGGAGTGTATCTTAGCACAGAATAAGGACTTGAGTGGAAGAACCGGTGACGTGTAACAAGTCTGGTTTGCAGTGAGCTGTCACCTCACACCTGCCAGAATGGTATCTTCAAGGAATCAACAAACAACAAGTGTTGGCGAGGGCGTGGAGAAGAGGAAACCCTTGTGCACTGCTGGTGGGAATGCAGACTGGTGCAGACACTGTGGAAAACAATTTGGTGTTTCCTCAAAAAATTGCAAAACGAAACTGCCATTTGACCCAGTGATCTCACTTCTAGGAATATACCCTAAGAAGCCTGAAACTCCAATCTGAAAGAATATATGTACCCCTGTGTTCATAGCAGCACTACTTACAACAGCTGAGACCTGGAAATAGCCCAAGTGTCCATCAGTAGACAAATGGATACAAAAGCTGTGGTACATATACACAATGGAGTACTATGCAGCTGTAAGAAAGAAAGATCTCTTATCCGTTGAGGCGACATGGAGGGACCTGGAGAGTAATATGCTAAACAAAATAAGCCAGTCAGAGAAAGATAAGTATCACATGATCTCACTTCTTTGTGGAATATAATGAACAAAATAAGCTGACAAACAAAATAGATCCAGAGACATGGGAATAGGGAACAGACTGACAAACTCAGAGGAGAGGGGTCGGGGGGTGTGGGAAGAGATAAACCAAGGAACTTATATGTACATATGCTAACCCAAAGGACACAGACAACAGTGAGGTGAAGGTGGAAGGCCAGGGAGGAGGGTGTCCATGAGGGAAAAAAGGAAGGACATCTGTAATACTTTCAACAATAACGATCCAAAAAAAGAAATAAGAAGAATCATTTTGTAGAAACAAAACTGTCATTATAAATACATTATGTAAATTAATATATATAAAAGAATTTGGCAAAGTTTTAATTTATTTTTATATCTTAACAAGCAGCTAGAAAGCTAATTTACATTATGTAGACTTACTAGCCTAAAGATATCCTCTATGAATAATCTAGCAGAAGTATATGACCTCTCAGGAAAAAAGATCCATTCGATCAGAAAACAGTTCTAATCAATAGTATACACATACCATATTAATGAGGTAGAGGACACGATATTATAAAGATGTCAGTTCTCTTGAATCCAGAGATTCATTATAATTCCCAACAAGGTTTTGACAAGCCGATTTGGAGCTTCCAAGGGACAGGACACTGAAGGAGGAAGGAGGACGGGAAGGCGCACTCTACCAGATGTCAAGAGCTCCTGTGACGCCGTCCTCACTAGGACAGTGGGTCAGCCCAAGGAGAGGCTGGCGGGCCAGCAGCAGGGGAGGAGAAGAACAGACCCTGCACGCGTGGCCCTGGCTCATGGAGAGGGCAGCACCGCAGGGCAGAGTGGAAGAGGATGCTTCACCAAACACGGTGCCTCAGAAAAACCAGCAAGAAAAACGGTAGTTCCTTCAAACAGTACATCAGACGCCAAGAAATTCCGGCTCAGATAAGACAGGAAATGTGAAAAAAACCTGCACCCGCTGACGACTGTGCACACGGGGGAGGGCGCGCTGCCAGGGCTGGGAAACCAGGGTGGGCACCCGGGAGAGAGAAGCAACAGGGACCAGCCCGCAGAGGGGTCAGTGTGTAGGAATCCCGAGGGGGCGGAAGTGTCCCCAGGGCGCTCAAAGTCACACCAACCCTTAATAAATAAGTAGAGCAGCCGTGTGCAGCTGGGCTGATAGAATAGAATGTGGTTTCAAGTTCAACTTAAGTAAAATTTTTAAAAAATGGGGTCTGTGACCATTAAAAAAAAAAAGAGCTCTCAGAGCTAGTGAAAAAAAAGTGAAACACCCCCTCAAAACAAACACAATCAATTTAAAAAAATAAGAAACAAACAAACAAACAATTAAAAATTGCCATAGAAAAGGGGTTTGAGACAACCATTATGAACAATGAAAGGCAAAAGAGAATATCTCTTAGGGACGAATGAAGTTGCGAAGGCTGAAGCTGCACCCATGAAAGAATAGTTTTACCCCAGATTACAAAAGAATATGTCTTTGAAGGCAGCAGAGAAGAAATGTGCCCTGAAGTTGAGGTGGAATTGGGCCTGCTACCTAAAGAACGTGAGAACTGTGGTTGAAGACGGTGTGCATGGAATTCACCGGCGGCTTCCTGCATCGCTTTTATTTATTTGTGATAAAAAGGGTGCATCTATCTTATCAAATCCATCCTACAATAAGTCTATACTTCAAATTTCAAGCTTTAATAGGTAGAAGTCACCATAAACAGAAAGTAAATTTATAACTTTCAGAATATTTAGCAAACTCTCCTGTGTCATCAAAGAAACTACAATCACCTGAACTGACGGCATTGGGAATAAACAAGCCAGCAACCCACCGAAGAGGCAATCTACATGGCCAATAAACATAGGCACTTGCCCTGGCCCCTTTGGCTCAGCGGTTACCCCCACCCCCCCGACCACAGAGAGTCCCAGGTTCGGTTCCCACTAAGGGCATGTAGCTTGGTTGCAGTTTTTCCCCAGCCCCTGTTGGCATAGTGTGGGTGGCAACCACTCAATGTGTCTCTCTCACATTGATGTTTCTCTCTCTCTCTTCCTCCCTCTCTCCCTTCCACTCTATCTGAAGATAAATGCAAAAATGTCCTTAGGTGAGGATAAAAAAACCCTACAAAAACCTGTTCACTGCCCACATCATCAGAAAATGCAAATCAACTACATGAATCTGTTTATCTAGAACCTTTGTAAAAAATGGGTGTTGAGAGAAGATTCATCTCATTCATTACTGTTAGGAGAATAGATTGGTTCAACTACTTAAAGGGAGAGTAAATACTAGTTCTCTTTGCCTCCACAATTTGATTTTTTGGTTATTGACACAAGACAAATTCATGTATATGTGCAAAAAAGAAATATATCATTATTGTTATCATAGCTTGTTGAAATGACCTAAATGTCTGTCAATGGAAGAGAATGGTTTTAAAAAGTATAGAATATTGATTCCATGGAGTAGTATGCAGCTGTTAAAAAGAACGAGGGAGATCTATATGTTTTCAAAGATCTGTAATGTTTTCATTACTAAAATAAAAATGCAAAATAGCATATACAATATAATCCCCTTTATTACAAAATAAGACACAAATTATGTATTTAGGAAGAAGAATCGTACGTGTAAATGTGGAGAGAGACATGGAAGGCTGAGCCCACAAACTCAGCAGGACCAGGACCGAGAGCTTCAGGCAGGTGGGAAGGGAACGAGACTTCTTCCCTGTACACACTTTCATTCATTTGAAACTTTATGAACAAGACTGTAAAATGTAATTCTTTTGTATTAAAAAAGTTAAACATATTAAGTAATGTTATTTCTGACCTATTACTAGAGAGAAAGTTAGGATTTCTGGCCTTTTCCTCATCAGAGGTATAACCCATTACAGAGAAGAAAAGCAAAGTACAGATGAAAACACTCAGCCTGCACTAGCCTTTGGCATCTCAGTCCTTCCTCTTCCTTTCACTCCCGTAGGTCCCAGATCCCTGGAGGAGGACTCCAGACCCTCAGCCACAGATGGAGGTAAGCCCAGTGCTGACCCATCCCCAGGTCAGCTGTGAGACCCAGATTTGAAAGTCAGATGTTCACCCTAAATTGTATATTTTCTAAAGTACCCTCTTTGAAACCATCCAGGTGAAGGTAGAGGGGCCTGAGGGAAAGAGAGGGTTCAGAGGTCATGAGAAAACAACAGATCGCTGTCTCGGAGCGTCAGGAAGGACAGCCCAGCCAGACGGGCTGCCAGAGGAGCAGTGGCTGTCAGTCCTGGGCTGTGGCAGCTGCACTCACACCAGCACCTGCCCCCCTGCAGTTTAAAGGTCTGGTTTCCTCACTGTGCATTCCTGCATTTCCTTATGGTGCTCGAGAGTGTTCTTACAGAGCAGGACAAAGGTCAAAGTTTAGATAACTGTGTAATGACAGACCCTGGAGCAGCCGCTCATCCAGAGAGGAAGAGAAAGCACAGAGACTGACCTGGTGCTGGGGTCGCTGCCTCCAGTGGCCATCGTCCTTCCCTGGGCCCTTCCGGGGCCCTTCCTGGGCCTGGGGCCTGGCCTTCGATCCCTCCGGTGTCCCAAGCCGGGGAACAGTGTGGTTGCTCTGCCCCGAGCAGGAAGTGTGTAAACTCAGCCAGGGAGGGCTCCACCCATATGGGGAAAAGAGAAGTGAAAGTAACTTTCTGAGTGTGAGACACTGTCTCCCTCCTCCTGCCGCTCCATGGTGGTTCTCAGCCATCAGGACATGTGGCAGCAGGAATGAAGGACAAGAAGGGGCAGACAGTAAGGACCTGGAGGACCCCAGGGGAGGAGCAAGGCCAGCCTCCAGGAACCCCCTCCTTTACAAACAAGGAAGTAGCCCGAGCTACGGCCCTGGAGACCTGGAAGCAGGGAGGCAGCCACCAGAAGGGACTGGGGGCGGAGGAGGCTCCAAGGGGACGGGCTTCCTTAGCTTCACCAGGAGCAGCTTCCAATCACATGTCACTAGTGGGCTGAGTCTCCAGCCTGGGAGACCCCGTGGGGACAGAGGTTTGTCGCTGGGACAGGCAGAGTCCCAGAGCTGAGCATTCACGGCAGGAGGAAGCAGCAGCAGCAGCAGCAGCCACTGGGCCAGAGGATGAAGACCCGGCACCTCTGTGGCTGCAGAAACGGACAGGGGGCACCTGGGAACTAGGTGGGAACACTCAGGCCCCACGCCAATGTCCCCTTCTAGGAGGTGGCCCATCAGTCAGCAGGACTCTGGTCCCCCTGCCCTCCCTTCTCCCTGGAGAGACTCACTCAGGCTGTGAGTTCTGTGAATGGTGAGTCTGCTCCCTGGTGGGTCCCCCTGGGCTCACCCTGCTGGAGAGCCAGGGCTCTGTGCTCCTGGGAGCTCAGGTGCACAGGGACAACGGCCTGGGGCGTGTGGGCTGGGGTTGGCTGGAGCAGCCTGGGGCCTTGAGGCCAAGTCCAGTTCTGGAGTTCTGACTGAAGAAATCATTTTTTGTTTTTTTTGGCACACATCTAAGTCATGTCCCCTGATTCAGCTTTTATCAGGAAGAAAGATGGTATTTTGCTCCCTATCTGTCTCATGTTTTTGCCTGTCAGTTGGTTAGGAATTCAGGTGGTGGGAAAGCGTGCACTTTTTTTTTGGGGGGGGGGGTGTTGGGTGGGAACTACAAACATCGTAAAAGGAGTCAAGCACCTGGGTGTATGTCTTGCTCCTTGTGCCCTGGATAGGTAAAGAGATGGGCAGTCATACCCCTGCAGTTGCATGTTTGTGTAGACTTCATGGCACTTGGTGGCAATATTTCAGCTTCTAGGGACTGGGGTGAGGTGGAGTCCCCTTATTCCACCTAGCAGAACCCTAGTGACTTGACTCAGTGGTGCTACAGCTGTGGGTTCCTGTCTTCCTACAAAGTTGGTAAGAATCCAGAGGTATTTTTGGAGGTGAATATGACTGTTTCTATAGAGAAGGCAGTGAACCCTTGGAAGAGGGGGTGAGAAGAGGCATCTGGGCAGAAGAAGAGGTTACGAGGTGAGGGTTGTAGGGAGTGCAGAAGAGAAGGGGACCCTAGGGGAGCACAGTAAGTCTATCTGAGCCACGCCTAGAAGGTCTAGTGCTATGCATGAGAAACACCCCTGAGGAAGCCCACAGTCCTTGTGCTGGCCAAGGAGGAAGGAGGCTGGTGCAGGGCCACATGCCCGGTCCCAATCCACAGTTGCCACCGTCACCACAACACTTCATCTGGAGCTCTGGGCTTCCCCTTAGGGCAAGTTAGTGACGGGCATCCACAACAGAACAAGGACGGATTTCCCTGGCACACTGGTTACTGCTGGACAGCACCACACTCCCTGCACACCAGCTCATGCCGCTCTCCCATGACCACCCAGCCCCAGACGCACCATGTGGACACAAACCAACGAAGGAGCCTGTTACTGCCTTCACATTTCTCGTTTTAGGACCCCAGTGCCATTACCAGGGGCTGGGCAGCCCTTTCCTCCCAGACTTGACTCCAGACACGTCTGCACTTCCCCCTAGTGGTCGTGCGTGGTATTACCCTTTCCTTAGAACTGGGTTTTGTTGCTTGTTCAGAGAAACTGAAACGAAAATCCCTCTGCCCTCAGGATTGTGTCTATCCAAAGCCCTCTAAAATGGAAGCGCCATTATTTCTATCTACATAAAGGTGAAACGACTTAAGTATTGGTTTCTGAGATCATTTTGATATTCGGCAGTTCGTGAGCACAAAATCGAGCTTATCACCGGGACAGAGAAGTCTGGGTTTAACATTCAGGGGGTTCCTGAAACTGTGGCCCCTTCCATGCCCTCGCAGCCCCTCTGTTTCCCAGAGAGCGTCATTCTATGCTGTAGCCCCAGGGTGACCCCGCTCTCTCCATCTTCCTGGACACAGAACTTTTCCACCCTGCTCCTCCTCGCCAGCTTCCCAGGTTGCACATGAGAATCACCGGAGGTCCCTCCCAGGCGTGCTGACTGTACTCAATGGTGAGCAACTTAAAGCAATTACAATTATTATTATAAAAAACAAACTTGTTTTCTTTATTGAACTTTAGAGAGAGGAAGGGAGAGGGAGAGAGAGAAACATGGATGAGAGAGAACATCGATTGGCCGCCTCCTGCATGCCCACCCCTGGGGATCCGGCCCACAACCTGGGCATATGCCCTGACCAGGAATCGAACCGGCGACCTCTTGGTGCATGGGTCAACGCTCAACCACTGAGCCACACTGGCCGGGCCAGTTAAAATTATTAAACAAGTTTCAAAAATGAATGGCATAGAATGAATGATTAAGAGAAAATGTGAGACTTCGAAGAGGTTGTGGGTTTCATGCACACTTCAAGCAATGCCTGCCACACCCAACCCCGTCTCCCTGGGGGATCATACCCTCCCCCGCCATTAGAGTTCTCTGCCTCCTGGAGGATTGGACCTGAGTATCCTAGCTTCACCTAACGCTGCCTGATTCAGATGCCCAATGGCTTGACTGAAAAAAAAAAGGGCTGACCTTTTACCGGTTTCACCAAGTTTAACATTCTGGGAATCTTGGTGGACTCTCCATATGTTTCAGAATGAGTCCCCAGTGGACTTGCTATCACTGGCAGATGTGGGACCAGGTATTTCCATATCAGACTTGCCCCATAAGAAAAAACCAAGGCTCTAGGAGTTATCCCTGTCCTCAGGAAGGGGGAGAAATGTTTCTTGGGAGTTACCTTGACCTGCTGTCTCCCAATAAGTCCCAGAGTGTCAGCTGGGTTGGGCACCACCAGCAGCGGGGATGTACCAGGGAAGGAGGCAGTGAATGAACAGGAAGCCTTTGCAGAGTCTCCACTCCTAATATTTCTGCAAGTCCCCTCCTTCATCCATTACTAATCGTGGTGATCTGGAGTGCTTCCCTAGACTGTCCTGGACCTTAGGACAGTCAGGTGACGTGTGTGCAGCAAGAAAAGATGTGCACTTGGTGGCTCATTCTGATCATCTCCACTCAGCACACAGAAGAAGCCCGCTGGGCAGTGGCCTTTGCTTCTTTTGTCTTGTAAGTGGGTGCTTCTGTCCAGGGGAGCATCCACAGGAGGGTCCTCGGAGTTGCTGAACAGTGGAGATGGACTGTGCAGCTTCACGAAGACTCAGTGGTTATGAGACAGGCGGTGGAATGTCATAAGGAGGCTCCACCATGGGTAAAGGATAAATTAAACTGTCCCTGCACAGAGGGACTCAGAGGGTACACACACAAAGGGATGCACACAGGACTTGGCATTTCAAGTATATTTTTAGTGTAAGCAATAACATAGACGGAGCCACTTAAAACGGAGCCCGAACTGCCATGCCGGGGGAAATGCCGGGGGGTCTGATACCTCAGTTCCCTGGAATGTTCGAACAGGGCAAACTAACCTCTGGACCGGGACTAGGCAACCTTGTGTCCAAAAGAACGCTTTGGAAAATAACAATAAAGCAGTTATTATGACGACTAGACTGATGGCTACTGGACCGAAAATTAAAAATACTGTTTAGAATTAACATCACGATGTTATGTTATCTGCACCCAAAGAAATGCCTGTGTTCTATTGATGTAATTATTTCCCTTCCCTTTCTCATCAATACCCATTGCCTGTTTCCGAATTGGAACATTATTTGTGCTTCTGCCTAAAGTAATGCTTCCCGAACAGCTATTCTTATTGATTTCAATAGATGTTTGTTTTCTGTCACCTGAAAAGGCCTTTTTATTTTTAATTAACGCTAGCAAGGCCCTTGCACACCTGCCGACCGTTGTCCAGAGGTGATGTACAGGGAAGGGGTGGGGGCTGCTTTGCCCACTGGAGCTCTTGCTTGGCACTGTTGTGGCTGGGGAGAGAGCTGAGATGGATCACCTTGGGCAGTCCCAGTGCACCTGTGCCCAGGGCAGAGCAAGTCCTGCACAGAGGAAGAAGTGGGCCTTCTTAGACCATCAGCTATGACAACTCTGGCCCAGGGCAAACCCAAATATGTGCTCTCCTTAGGGCATGTCATGCACTTTTCCCCTGCCCGGTGCACACGTGTCTCACATGTACACATGTTGGGCCCGTGAGGCGGGGTGGCATCCTGGAGGGTCCCAGCACACTAGCACAGGAGAACCACATGGGACTGGCCAGGTCATAAAGCGGCCCTGGGAACACAGAGATGTGACGCTGGCTCTCCACCAGGTTCTCCTGGACATCCTGTGTCTCACCTTGGCATGCGGATTGTCAGGCACAGGTGGCCGCTAGTGTCTCCAGGTACAATGGCTTTATAGACAGGACCGCAACCAGCACGGCTGTGCTGGTTTCTCAAGACAATGACAATGAAGTTGACAGCTCACCCATCTTTTTATCTTGAGGATAAAGGGAATAGAGGGAAAGTTCCCTGGACATCAGATGCCGTCCCCCAGCTACTAACCGTTTGAGAATAACCAGTGCCATCTAGTAGATGGCACCCTCCCCCCACAGAGAAGGAAGACCTCTGCCCACCCCAGGGGTGCCATCTATAGCCTATGAAACTCCCTCCTATAAATAATTCTAGGGGGAATTCAGCCTGCCGAACATGGAGCCATGGTGAGTGATGGGTTCACTTATACCGAGGGGCCTGGGTTCCAGGCTGAGCTGTGATGACAATAATG